AAGCAAAATCTGATTTTTATGGGAAATCTGGATGGACTCTACATTCAATGTTAGTTTACACCAAACATAACAATGATTTAGAAATTCAAGCTTTTGATCACTGGTCCTCAGATACAGCCCAAGATGCTTGGTTTACTGCCTCATGTTTTGAAGTTGTATTTAACACCCTTGAAAAAAAACCAAAATGGATAAAAATTCTATCTGATAATGGTGCACATTATCATTGCTCCGAATTGATGGCTATGATTGCAAATTGGAAAATTTGGTATGAGGTGGATGTTCATAGTTGGACCTTTTTGGAAGCAGGGGAAGCCAAAACAACAATAGATTCACATCATGCTCAGGTTTATAATTAATTGCTAATAATAAATTTATTATAAATAAAATTAATTACTTATCTTTCCCTTAATTCCACAGGTATCACATGCAATTAAAAGATATGTTAGGCTTGGACATAATATATCTGAAGGACAAGATATAGTAGAAGCTGCCAAAGAGATTAAAGGAACATCAATTGCAAATATTGAGCCTGATCGTAAGCACAAAGAAGAAAAAAAACCTATAATTCCTGGAATTTCAAATTGGTTTGAATTCCAATGGCCAGTTGAAGGAGAGTTTTCTGGTTTCGTTCGTGGTAGAGCTCTTCCAAATTTTGGAAAATGGAATGATTTCTCTCCTGAAAACATTCGTAAATCAATGAAGGGAGGTGAACAACATAGGCCAAATCCTCAAATTTCCACACATACTGACTCCCAGGCTCAATGGATAACACCAATGCCATCAACAGGTTTGAATTAGTAATTTCTTCTAAATAAAACAATAAATAAAAAAAAGTTTTTATTTTCCATATTCAAATATATTAAAATACATCATCATTAAAATCTATGTCTCAAATTACCACTTATTTTTTAGAACCAGGTATGGGATTGGATAAATTAAAGAAAGATGATATTAAAAAAATGTTGGATCAAAGAGGCCTAAATTATGATGAAGAAAATAATCGATCAGATTTAGTTGCACTTTTAAGAGCAAACATTGAATTTGAAACAGATAATAAAATAGAAGGTAATAAAATTATTTTTCTAAATATCTACCAACTTGGCTAATTATGTTTTTATTATCTAGAAGCAAAGAAAAGAATGGACTTAGATGTAATAGTGGATGATAAAGATGATATAGATAATTTACAACCAAGAAAAAAAAAAAAAAAAAAAGACTTATCTATTATAGAAGAACAATTTGATAATGCTGAAAAACATATAGCAACAAGGTATTTGGGAAATTTGATTGTGTTGAAACTCTAATGATTTATTTATGCGTCCATTTATTTATATAGAAATTATTTATGTCCATTTATCTATATAGGAATTACTTCCCGCTTGGCTGGGCTTTAAAAGAAAACCAGGAATTTGGAAAGAAAGGTGGTGGAAAACATATGTCCGATAAAGTAGTTGAGTTATTAAAGACCTTTTTTCATACAGGTGATGCATGTAAAAGTGAACGATATACACCTAAAGAAATGCTTGAAGAATTGAAAAAAAACGTGGAAGTAGGTGAGTTGGAAGTAATTGACATACCAAAATTAAGTACAATTGAAAATTGGATTAGTAGGTATTCCAGACAGCACAAGGTTGCAGTTGCTAAAAAACAAATAAAATAACTAAATAAATAGTTTTTATTGTTTTTATTACTTTTCTCAAGTAAATCATAATAAGTGAATTTATTTTAATAGTATGTTTTTTTACCCATAATCCTGAGCCGATTCGGAAATTAAATTTGACAGGTAGAAAATAGATATATACTTTCTTAATAAAATAAACAATTATAGATTATACTAACATTTTTTATTATGCACAAACGTGATACTTCATAACAAGGTTTTGTGTCAGCAGGTGATGAAGTTAC